CAGGCCACTGGTTAAAACACAACCTTTTTGTTGTTGTTTCTGAGCCTAGGTCTGGAGGGGCTCAGATTGGCCTCAAACTCAGTGATCCTCCTGCCTCGGCAATTACAAGAATGTGTCACCACATCCAGCTACACAGCCGTACAGGGAAACTTCCTTGGACTTTACTTCAGGATTCCAGCAAATAAAATAACAACACAGAGCAGATAGCTAACCTTCCCTGCATTTTATACAAAGCATACAACAAAAATGGAAGAGTAAATTGTCCACGTAAGTGCTTTCTTAAAGAATCAGCATGCCTTTTTCTTTACATTTTCTATTTAGCTCTCCCTGTTAATTATACACGTCACACTTATTTCCACAGAAAGTTTTAACGCAATAAAAACTAGAAGCAATTTCCATTCTATTCCCTTACATTCCAGAAGCATTCCAAGCAGGAAGAACAGGGAGATCCTTATAGGTATGGGTATTTTTTATATGACAACAGCAACAATTACATGTTTCTAAATATTCTCATTTTCCTCCTAACCCCAGCTCACCTCCTACTACCCGCTGTAAGTGGCATTTCCTTAAAGCTAAACAGTAAGCCATTGTTTTTCAGGCAAAACCTTTCCTTCATTTGATCTCTGTTACACGGTGTTTGGTGCCTTACAATGCTTGTCAGGATTCTTTGGGCTCGATTTTGGCCCAGCCACCAACACTACTTGTAGAATATATCATCCTGTCCTGATTACCACCCACCAACAGACAGATCTCTAGTGTAAAACAAATAGTACGGATCAATCCTAATAAAGCATCCCCCACCTTCTTCAACACTAGGAAACTAGAATCTGAAAGTTCAATTAAAAAAGAAAAGGATGTACTTAAGGATGTTTTAGATTTGTATCCTTCGTAATACTTTAAAAGGTGTATTTCTAGTCTAAGAAAAGCTAAGGCTAATATATCCGCTCTAAGTATACAATAAGCAAACATTCAAAACTACCAAATATACTGTGACCGCTGATATTTTCCAGGATCCCAATATTGAAATAATTTCTTTAGGAAGAATTTCATGTTGTATTGTATGTATTGCTTGTCTTATTTAAAAACACAAATGGATTTATCTACGGTTTCCTGTGGACGCTTAAGCCTCACAGAATGAGAACAGAAAATCCACTCATTTCCAATAAATATTGACTCTTTGTGTGCATCTAGACCTAAGGATAAGAAAACAGTCGACGGTCTAGAACTACACAAAAGAAGAAAAAAATAACCCCACCCCCACAACGATGCGGAGTGATTTAGGGATCGGTTACAAGTGGTAAAGGGCTAAGGAGAAAAACAGGGCCTATGAGGGGAGGGGCTGGGTGGTTCGATTTAGAAGGGACATCTGGCCTGAATCTGGAAGGACAGCTCAGCTCCAGAGGGGACAGAGCTCCTGCACACTGTGAAGGAGGAGCCATCACTCACAGGGCTGTGTACCCACCTCAGCCCAGGCCCCACCTCAAAAGTTCTCATGGGACCAGAGGCACCCAGGATATCTGAGGACCGTGGGAGGAGGACGGGTGGGCAGGCCCAGCGCTGACTGACACAGTGCACTCCAATTAGTGCGCATGCGACCAACTCTTCCAGGAAACACACAGCGTTCACAGAGGACTCAGGAGATCCCAGGAAACCAACACTATTTCCAGGGCCTTTTCCTCCTCACCTCCCAGAAGAGCAGAGAGCAGTCAGTCAGTCCAGAGCCTGGCTGTGCCTATGGCTCGGCTTCCTGACTCAAGTGATTTACACTATTTCCTACATCTCCGAGGATTATTCTGTTTGCTGAGCCAGCATTCAAAATTCCATGGACGGGGGAAAGAACAAACTCAGGCGCAAGTTTAAATTAACATTCAGTAGAATATTCCCACCTTACACTGCTGCCCTTCACTTCCTGGCCTGGTCTGAGCAGAAGCTGCAGTCTTGTAAGCCAAACTAGTTAAAGGACATAGGATTAACACAGAAGACTTTTTAAAAATATCGTATTTAACACGGATCCATTGATCAATGCTTAAGTTTCAACCTAAAAATGCACAAAGTTAGCAAGAAACAAAAACATGGACTCGTGCAGGGACCTATGACCCTAGCTCTGGGCCGCCTGCCTGCCAATTACGTAGACACTGGAAGGTCCTGCCTGTCCCTTTGTGTTGGTTCATGGCTGCTTTGCACCCACCAAGCAGGGCTGAAGAGCCACATCACAGATCCCATGGGGACCAAAGCCTAAAATACTCACAGTGAAGCCCTTTCCTGAAACTGGACCCTGGACGAGATGCCACATTAAAAAAGAAAATCCAAGGGTGCTTTCTAAAGTTCATTTTAAGGTCTTTCATTCTGAAAGAGTAGGCAGACCCTGCTTTGGAAATGATTTCTTCTGGAATACACTATCTCTCAGTAAAATCAATTTCTCCTCATCCACTTTTCTGACTTGGGCGGGGGTGGGGGAATAAAAATCTGTCCTCATCTCTACGTATCTCATTTGAATCCCTCACCCTCTCACCCCAGAGCAGCGCACTGTGAAGTGTGAGCGAAGGCTGTCTGTCGCTGGCAGCCTCAGAGCCTCCTGCTTCCTGTCCCCAGACCTGCCCAAGGGCTGGAAGCACAGATTGGGACCGTACAGGGCAGAGATGTGTGAGGTATAAAATCATTCCGGGCCCTGGTTTGGTTGCATCTTAATGGAATAATGGGCCTCACACTGAAATTCTTCAGCATTTTAAGACAAAATGAACAGAACAGGCAGGATATAAAGGAGTGGGCAGACACAGAAGCTGTAGGAGTAGCCCTGGCACTGAAATCCCCACACTCATTGTCCACTAAACATCTCCAAGCCACCTATTCTACTGGGAGGTGCAGAATATGAGGTCAGAAGTCACTGCTCCTCAAGTGGCCGATTCTGTAAGAGTCTGCTGGGGGACTGTGCTGACAGATCTGCATATCTTTATTTAAAGAAAAGGCCATCTGTCGGGTTGACAGTGCAGGGAGGAAGCAGGCTGGCAGACTTCAGAAAGGAAAGCTCCATCCTGCGAGGGTGGAGGGGTGAGCCTGGACACATTCTTCCACCATTTCCTTCCCCTTTCAGGGCGCCTTCGGGTTCCTCACTAGTAAGGCTGTGACGACCCCCCCCAGGACCCTCAGGGGACCCAGCCCAGGCAGGGCCCCCACAGCAACAAAGACCTGCTGGCCACAGTGCTTGTATTATTACCTTCTACCCAAAGCCGGGGGTAACAGACTAGAAACAGGGAATAGCAGCAAGCAATTTGACTGACAAATTACATTTTGCCCAACTTCAGCTAGGGGCCCTTGGTTATCTACAGATCCACCAGCACATTACAAAGAGGACAATCAATCACTACCAGATTCTCTTTATCTTGGCTTGAAAAAGCAGGCCAGAGTCCAGACGTGAGGCCCTCTGGGTGTATGATGACTGACCCAAGCCACCTTCCCACCTGGGGCTCCTCAGTGCAAGCCGGCAGAGCACAGCCATCACCCCAGAGCTGATCTAAGAGCACACTCCTGACACAGCAGGGGTGGGGCACAGTTGTGTTCTGCCTTGTACTGTGCCTCTGTCACCTGGAAATGGGAAGTTTTAAAGCACAGGTTGGGCTCTCTACAGGCAAATTATCTTCACTGAAACAAGGATTAGTGACAAAGAATTTGCGTAATATTTTGGAGCAGGTTCTTCACTTGTTCTAAAGAAAGCAGCCCTCATACCCTAGTCATGGAAGAAATTATAGTTGTGACAGTTATGGGAGAAATTATTTTTAAAACAATGTTCAACACATCTTAGCAGAGTCAAAAATCCCAGTAACTCAACAAAACCCAAAAGAATTCTAAAAGAGAATTTTAGGTAAAGCCTAAAACCTAGGTAAAGCCAAATGTACCTGAATCCAAAAGTTTTGGTCTGAAACAGCAAGAAAATCACCAATATCACTCCTACAGAACACAGTATATATTTTTTTTATTTTTTGAGACAGGGTCTTACCATGTAGTTGAGACTGACCTGGAACTCACTAAGTAGCCCGGGCTGGTCTCAAACTTCAAGCGATCCTCCTGCCTCAGCCTCCTGAGTGCTGGGGTTACAGGTATGCACCACCCCGCCTTGGCTACACAGTATGGTTTTGATAAACAGAAATGACACCATGGGAGGAGAAACAAAGCAGAGGTGTGGGTGTGTGTGGGTGTGTGTGTGTGTGTGTGCGCACGCGCGTGCGCGGTCATCCTGTAATCTCCCACCACTTACACACCAAAAAGTAACCCTAGAACAGTTCTCCACCTTCACAGGGGTTGTATCCAGAGAGACACAGCAGGACACTTAAGGTCTGAGCCTTTCTTCACATATTTTATGGAGAAAGAACTTTAGTTAATGGTATTCAAGCTAAAGTACTGAGGAAAGGAAAAGCACACTAACTACTGCAACTTACAGAGGAAACTTAGAGATAGCTTAAAAGGGGGTTACAGTGCCAAGACACGAATAAATGTTGGCAACACTGTGCCAACACTTATAACCTGAGACAAAGCTTCTTCGCTGTGCACATCATTCAGTGATTCCAAATGGTTGACATTTCTGTCACAGCAGTAACAAGCACAAGGTTAGGCTACGAAGCCTGCTCAGGACACTGTGGCAGGATCTGAGAGGCTGCAACTTTTGCTCCTCTGCAGCTTTTTTTTATTTTTTGTTTTTTGAGGGTACTGGGGATTGAGTTCTGGGTCTCCATGCCAAGCTACATCTCCAGCTGTTTTTATTTTTAATTTGGAGACCAGTTCTCACCAAGTTGCTACATTGCCCAGAGTGGGCTTAAACTCACAATCTTCCCTTCCTCGGCCCTCCAGAAGGGGACGGGTGTGTACCACCACACCCAGCTGCCCCCACAGCCTCCTGCCAGGCTTTCCTCGGGACTGGCTAGAGAGCTCTGTTGAATCTCAAGTCTCAGAATCGTCTGGAAGCACAAAAGCGCTGTTGGAGGATAGAAGAAAAAGAGTGGTCCTACCTTGCGGCGGTCTGCAGCCAGCACAGAAACTGTGTGGGTGTCACGAGAACACTTGCGCACAGCAAGCAGAACTGGGCTCTGAGTCCCACCCCCTCCCACAGCAGCTCTGCCTCTGCTGCGTGGGAAAGTGTGGGAGCAGAGACACCAGCCTGCATCTCAGCAGTCCCTGGGGAGGCCCTGGCCACCCTGCCCCTCTACCTCCCCAATTTCCATCCTCTTCAAATCCATTACCTCTCCCTCCCCGGGAGTTAGGCTGTTTGATAGGGTTCAGAAAATTAATCTTTTCCGCTTCCTATCTATTTCTTCACGTGCTGACTCAGTGCCTAAAGAGGAACCTCCGGGATCACATCTTTTCCTCCTCATTCCAGCGTCTTCCCTTTAAGTCAGACAGCTCTGGGCTTCAAGGAGCGCCCAAGCCTCTGCCTGAGCCCATCTAGTTAGTTAGCTGCACCGGGAAGCCGGAGCATAAATGCCTAGATTTTCAACAAACACCCACACTATCACATGTGCACAACGATGGCGGTTTCCTTGAGCAGATCTTGCTTCCTGGGTGTCTTCTCCCTTAGGCTCGGTCGCCATGCTGCTGCCACCAAGTTCACTATGTTCAGAGGACACCGAGATACTGCTCCGCACAGGCTGTGGCCACTGTCACTTCCACCACACTGGCTGAACGACCGCTCAAAGTACCAAACGGACACCACAGTCCGCCAGCAGCAGCCATGGCTTTGTGTGGTCTGATGATGGCAACGGGAGGCAAAGCAACTGAGCCAGGGGCAGGACATGCTGGTGACCATCGCAAGCTGGTTGGGAGCATGGTCTCAGGTCAGAGAAGCCAAACCTACCCTCTGTCGCTTCCCGGCTACAGTCCTCCCCAAGACACATCTGCACAGGCAGATAAGGAGTGGGGACGTCAGCAGGGCCAGAGACCACCCGCAGGAGCCGTGTGAATTCGGCTTCTCTCCGGGCAACATCTCCCAACCACAGCTCTGTCCTTGCCCCAGGCAGGCTGGTTTTGTCAGGGCAGCCCTTCACTTAGCACAGGGGAGCTGGTGCCCAGACACCCGAGCAGTCACCCACACATGCAGGACCTGAGGAACTCAGCTCGGCTCTCTGCCACAGCCCCAATGCAAGGATCAGAGAGCACGCCGTGGGCTGTCCAGGGCACAGTGGGGTCCCTGCCCCACCTTACATGACACATAAACACCTCCACCCAGTGGGGAAAACCAAAGTGTCCCCAGACACTGCACAGCGTTACCATTTTTTCACCTGCTGGAGCCACCATAGCAAGAAGGAAACATATTCCCCAAAGCCACAGCATTGCTTTCCTGGGAGTCGGCAGCCACTACCACATTGCAGGACAGAAAGATATGGGACCTTTCCCAGTAGCCACTCAGATCCAGTAGCTACGTATTAGGTACAGTCAACAGCAAAAGCCACAGGCTGTCAACACAGCCTTAGCTCCCACCCGTAACACGCAGATGTGTGCAATAACTGGATCACAAGGGGCCAGGGATTTAGCTCAGCGGTTCTGCTGCCTGCTTCACAAGCGCAAGGTCCCGAGTTGGATCCTAGGTACCAAAAACTAACAAATAACTGGGTCATGAACAGGTACATACAACTAGAGACCAATTATTAGGCAAAACAGATTCAGTCCCCCATACCGAAGCCTGAACCCGGGGCCTTCCCTTCATACTATCTACACTTCCCTATTTTATTTTTTGATTCAGGGTCTCGTTAAGTCACTAAATTGTCATGGGTCGGTTCAAACTTTATACCCTCCTGCCTCAGCCTCCCACAGTGCTGGGATCACAAGAGTACGCACTGCCCTTGCCCTTCTTCCCCTTTGCTGTCTGGGGCCCTCCTTTCTCTTCCCTTTCCTTCCAGAGGAGAAAGCAAGATGACTCAGACCAAGCAACGCCATGTTCCCTACAGCTCTGGGCATGTGGAACAGGATGAGAAGACTCGAGAGAGGGAGAATCCAAGGACGGCATAAAGTGTCTCGTGGAATTCATGCACTTCAGCGGAGGAAGCAAGGGTCAGGGGGCAAAGTTTCATCCCAGAACCATTTCTTCTACAGGAGCAGGAGGCTTCACCATGCGCCTCCCCTTCCCAAGCATTGCCGGGCTTCCCCCAGCTACCAGCTCACCACCCTCCCAAACGTCCCACGCACGGACCAAGACCTTGGAAGGCACTTCCAGGAGTCCTCCCCAGCAGAGGAGCTTGCACTCCCTAGGTTTCTACTCCTGGCCTTCTCCTGTCACTTCACAGTCATCCCCACCATTTCCTCTTCCTTATCTTTCCTCTGATCCAAGAGTAAACCAAGGAGCACTGGCCACGTGCACAAGTGTGTGAAGGATGAAGCAGTCACACCAGTCCGGGGGAGATGAACGGAGGTCGTCAGACTCTAGACCTGGATGCCCCAAAGCCTCCCTGAGTGGAAGGTGAGCAGATCCTGGGTGCGGTTCTCACCACAGGATCCGTCCACTTGTGAGTCAGCCTATTGTAGACAGCTAAGTTAATTACGTATCTCCCAGGCAGTGAGACAAGGCTGGCCCTCCAGCAGTCCAAGTGAAAGACAATCCAAATACACTGACTGAAGGTCAGCACTACACTCACATGCTTCCCCTGGAGATGAATAGCAGTGACTGATATTCTAAATAGGCATCAATCACTCTGGGAGGGGAACAAAACCTCCAGAGCCCATTCCATTCCTTCCGGGGAAGTCCTAGTTCCTTCCAAAAGTGCTCACCACCTGATTAGCTTCCCCATTTGACTGCCATTTAATCAACACTACCTAAGTGATTATACGTGTTGCAATCTTATTGGTTGGATCATAGTTTTGTCCCACCTGGAGATTTCCCATTGGATCGCTATTACCTCAGGGACTGTGCTCCTAATAGTTGTCTGAAGTTTTGTCCCACCTTGAACCCGCCTCACCCCATAGCTTTGCTCAATAAAAGACCTTTGAGAAGCAGGGTGGGTGGACAACCCACTTTCTGGTCCCCCCCCACTATCTTAGACAGAAGCCATCTTTCTCTCAATAAATTTTTCCTACTCTTAACCTCCTCTGTTCCTAGGATTCATTCTTCAATTTTAGAGAACACAAACTCAAGTTGCAGGTATCTAGCAGGCTGGGAGTTGTCCCATGTCCTTATTTGCTCATTTGGATTACTGGGTCCCCTCTACAGAGTCCATGGCTGAGTGTGTGGCTGGGGAGGTGGGGCTGGTGAGACATGGGTCTCCGGGTCGCCCTGGAAGGACATATTCTTCTCTTCCCACATCCCCTGCCTCCGGGCCGCCATGACCTGAGCAGCTGTCCTCCACCCAGGCCCTGTCACCCGTGCTGCTGCCTTGGAGTCAGCTCACCATGGAATTCGAGCCAAAATCAACCTTTCTTCCTTTACGTTTCGAGTGAGGCATTCTGTCCCACTGAAAGGAAAGTGACCGCAGCAGGATGTGCAGAGCTGTCATCTGTTGACTGTGTGATCGTGGTTGGCAGAGTCAATCTCCTTGAGCCTCCATTTATCTGCGTAATAGGGATGATAAATCTCTGCTCCTTACATTAAATAACACAGAAGCCACTGAAGTTTCTCCCTCAGGCCATAACGGAACACCCAATAAAAGGAGTGCCTGATATACAACTGTGACAGCCCAGCATGGACACACACTTGCAATCCCTGCTATTTAGTGGCTGAGGCAGGAGGATCACAAGATCAAGGGCAGCCTAGGCAACTTCTTAAGCAAGACCCTATCTCAAAATAAAATAAAAGGAGCTGCAAGTGTAGCTCAGAGGTATAGCACTTGCCTAGCATGTGCGAGGCCTTGTATTAAAACCCAGTACCTCAAAAAACACCAAAAATTCATGATCAAAAGAAATTCTTTTGAGATAGGGTATCGCTATGCAGTTCAGGCTGGCCTCAAACATGTGTCAACCATCCTGCCTCAGCCTCTTGAGTGCTAGAAGTACAAGTGTGCAACACCATTCCCAGTATTTTTGGTCTTTCAGGGAGTCCAAGGGCACCAAGAGAAAGGACTGCTCCCGCTCCCACCTCCCCACCAAAATCTGTATTTTCAAACTCTAAAGATCCCTCACACCTCCTCCCTGTTCTCCAACCACAAAAACCCAGCATAAATGCAGAACGAACCCACTTATGTAGGCATGGTTTTCATTTGTGTTTCACCAAAGCACCGTTTTCCGTTACTGTCCAGAATGGCAGACGTTTTGGCACAGATTAAGAAGCACACTGCTGCAGTCCTGGGCCAGCCTCCACCACAAGGCTGCTCCCTGCTGCTTCTAGGATCTATCTTCTGGGACCTAACACATGGAGGGGGGGCAGTTAGCAGTATACTGGAAACCACCTGCATTTTTTCCTTTTTAAGTTTCCAATAACTTTTGCAGTAATCACCTACTCTGGCTAGCCTGGCCCCAAAAATACTGTAAAAAATGTTTCCATTATAACAGATTTTACCCTTCAAATAAGGGAATGATTTCAACGGGTCTCTCTCTGTCCTTTAGCTGAAGCATAATTTTTAAAGGAAAGCTAAAGATATGAACATTGGAATTTTTACTGCTGATACAATAACTGAACCTGATACAATAATTTCAACGAACATAAATTGGGTTAAAACTAACAGGGGAACAAAAAGAATTATGTTTGGACAGTGTTCAGAATAAGTGTTTTTCTTTCATTTAAATTAGAAATAACTTTATTATCACTTTAGTCTTACTGAACTACAAAGAATTTGAAGAGTCTATACTGTCTCTATGATCGTCCGGGAAGAATGATGGAAGAAAAGGCTGCTGGAATGAAGAGATCATTCACGGCAACACACTGCAAATGGTCCTGCCTGAAGCCGGACGTGAATTACCCACGGAAGGATGATTCCTTGTGCAGAGCTACACTAATACAAAACCACATTCACTGAAAGCCTTGAGGCAGGAGAACCATGCCACAGCGAGAGCTTGTCTCGAAAACAAGAAAGCAAAACGAAAACAAAACACATCAGAAAAATATTCACTGATGACAAGAACGGGTAACTCTGAATTCTTTCTGGAGAAACTGAGGCATCTGGGACTTCTCAAATACCTGCACAGTCAGTGAGCGGTGCCTGACTGGTGACTCAGGAGTCCCTGGTACTCTAATGTAGGCTTTTCCATTCCATGAACCCC